CGCCCCTTCAAAGTGTAAAGTGTTGCTGCAGGACCACCAGCCACTTGATGACCCCTTGACGCTTGCTAACGAGAAACTCGAGGTGGTTAATCATTACACTTATCTTGGCAGCTGCATCAGCAATGATGGGCGCATAGAAACTGACGTCAGCCCACGCATTACAAAAGCCAGAGCTACCTTCTTGAACCTGCGGCATCTTTGGCGACAGAAGGGAGTTTCCCTCCGTCTGAAAGGCCGTGTATACAAGGCTACAGTGAGGGCCGTTCTGCTCTATGGTAGTGGAACTTGGCCCCTTCGGTCTGAAGATCTGAGGCGCCTTTAATTCTTTGATCATCGTTATCTGCGTAGCATTGCTGGTGTCGGATGGCACCAGCGTGTCCGCAAGGATAATGTTCCTTAGAACAACTGATAGCAATGTATAAGTTGCGTTGGCTCGGGCACGTGCTACGTATACCTGGTCACCGTTTACCTAGGAGGGCCTTGTTTAGTCTGCTAGGTGTAGGGTGGCGCAAGGCTCGAGGTGGACAGAAGTTGACTTGGCAGCGGGAAATGAAGTCACTGACGACCAAACTGGGTGCCGTTGGTCCGTCTCGCCTTCCGGGCTGGAGTCCACGTGACTCGGCTTGTGTTTGGCTCGAGACTTTACAGGACGTGGCTCGCAACCGACACCAGTGGCGCGTCTGCTGCCGTCTCCTAATCGGATTGTCTGTTTAAAGTATGTTTGGTGCTGAGTTATCTGCGGGGTAATGGCTGATTATGACGCGTGGCAGTGAAAGCCGCAAGGAAGCTGTCTCGCCGATGCCGCCTTATCTTTGCACGATAGCCAGGTGTTTGTGACGGTATGTTGTCTACACAAGGTGTAGGCGCCTTGACCCTGAATGTTTGCTTAGGGCATTAAGGTTTTCAGGTAAGTCCCCCTTCTCTCCCTCTTCTTATTCTTTATTTCATAGCTCGTCATGGTTGTATGGCAGCGAAGCATCAGTTCAAATGGCTGATGTACTGCTGTTGATGATGATGATGAAAGTGGTACATGCAATTTTTGTAATGAAGCGCGGGTGCGTAAGCTTGACCAGTAGTGGTGGTTGTACAAAGGGGGCAGTTTGGCAGCACCAATTGTCGGTCAAATTTCTTGGGCTATGCATCACTCAATTTGCTTTGCTACGATATCTTTGAGTGCCAACTGGAGATATGCGGACATTTTTGATACGGTTGGAGGGCTTCTGTTTCATATCTTCCATCGCGTGGTTGTGGAACTTGTGGAACGGTAGCCATTTGCTTACAGTGTCTGTGTAACGACTTGCTGGGTTAACCCTCTCTTCTCGGACCTCCGACTTTGCGAAGCCTCTTTCTCTAAGTACTGCTAGACTTCTTGAGCCACTTGAGGTGCAGATAACATCTCTTCATGTCTTGAGTTCATAGAGGTTTGGAAACAATCGGTGGGTATAGTAGTTTGGTAACGTTTCGCCCTCAACACAAGGACTTCGTCAGACCAGGTGAATCAGTGTGCGATTGGTGTGAGAGTTTATAGCGAACAGGGGCGATGACCGCGTTACCAGAGATTTGAGCCATGATGTCATTACAGTAACAGTTCGTGATGTCACCTCAGGTGGTTCGATCGCAGTGGGAATAGTCCAGGTGTTCCTTTGTGCGTCATGACATTGACGGATAAGCCCATAGTGTTGACAGTGGGAGTCGGTTTGCACTTTCCAATCTGATCCACGCACCGATGCTCGTCAAGCTGGCCAGCTTAAGACTGCCCGCCACGCATTAGGGAGTTCTACCCCCTCCATTCTATTCACGCAGTCGTCAGATTTGGCAATTTCCACCGTCTCGGCAATCAACAGCTGTGGGTTAATCGTATACCCATCCTAATGGCCTCTACGTTTTCGAAGTCTCTCTGGTGACCCGTGTCTATTGCATGCACAGCTACGGCCTAGTCTCTTATTATTGCCTGGTATTCAAACTCGTTTCTTGGTAGTCTTGAAATGCGCCTCCTATGCCCCGAAATTCGTGTGCGTAATTCTTTCGCTGTTTGGCCTGTGTACACATGTGCACAGTCCTTAATTTAGTTTTATAAACACACTTAGTCGTCCTATCCTTGGGAAGGGGGTCCTCCAGGTGTACCAGCGCCGAACGTAACGTTCGACCTCGCTGGAAGATCTCCATTATATTTTCCTTGTTTAGTACCCTGCGAATTGCCTCCGAAGAGCCTACCTTATGCGGAATTCCGACCGTCTCTATCCACTCGGCTGGGGGTCTTGACTGCCGGTGTAGCACTTTAGGCTATGGGCGTTTGACTAGCCGCCGTGTGTAACCACTTTCTAATAGTTTGCTCATTGCCACTTTCCGCGCAGCCTTTTTGTCCTCCTCCATCGTGCACAAGGTTTGTGCCCTGTAGAACAGCGTTGAGACTATCCCAGCATAAACCTGTTTCGGATGACCCGAAATGTAGTGGAGTACGCCGTCATTATCCGTTAGCTTGTGATATATAGTCCTCTTTAAATGTTCCCCATTCCTGTGAACCAGGCAGTCAAGAAATGGTGTTGTGCCACTACAAAATTCTCACCAATGGAGTTTAAGTGATCAAGTAACTCGTCCTTTTTATCCCGTTTAACAAGTACAAAGGTGTCGTCTACATAACGCCACCAAACTTTGAGTGAGTTACTGTTGTTTGTTAGCGCCCTGTTCTCGAATTCTTTCATATGCAGGTTCGCCAGTACCGGGGATATTGGCGATCCCATGGCGAGACCTTGTTCCTGACTATAAAGCTTCGACTGAAAAACGAAGTAAGACATGTTAAGACACACTGTCATCCCCTCGATTATCTGGCTAACTGTTAGTTTCGTCCGATCATTCAGAGTGACATCTTCATTTAGACGACGTCTCGCTATTTCTGTCGCCTCTTCTTTGGGTACATTTGTGAAAATTGATGTGACATCGAAGCTGACCACCAACTCATTTGACTCAATTTTGAGACTTGCTATCTTTTGGACGAAATCATAAGAGTTTTTCACGAATGTACTCGTTCGCCCTGTTAGAGGCTGCAATATCCTTGTTAAATATCTCGCAAGTTCATGGGTCGGGGAGTCTGTACCGTCGACTATGGGCGGTACGGGAACTTCGGGTTTGTGAACTTTTGGCAAGTCATAAACCCTCGGAGGTGAAGTCGATTTTGGGTATAGACTGTACCACTTGCCTGCCCCTAAATCGTCGTTCACGGTTCTTAAATAGTTACCAACCTCCGTTTTACGCTTGTTCAATACTGATGCCACGGTGTTGTCAACAACTACCCTATATGGATCCGTCTCCAAATGTTGTCCCATTTTTCCAAGTATTCTGACCTATTCATTACAACCAGGGTATTTCCCTTCTCAGCCTTTGTAAGTACAATACTGCGATCTTCCTTTAGGGAATTTAATGCCATACGTTCAGTTTTCGGAAGATTTGGCTCACCCGGTTGCTGAGACTTAATGATATTTACTAACTGTACCCGCATATTCTCTGCCTTCGTAGCGGGCAACTTTGTCACCGAACTTACTCATCTGTCTTTTCTTTGCATCCTGCCCTTGTTTCAATTTGTCGTCTGAAGCCTTATTGAAAATTCGGTTGTAGTCGAGAGGCGTTATGGCGGTGTGTAGATACAGGCTCAGCCGACTCGCGTCAATGCGGATCTCGCTTAAACGTTTGGTCACTAGGTAAACCCGCTGTTTCAGAAAGACCTTGGAAGCATTAAATGCAGTCCTTGCAGAGGTGTACCTACTGTCCGGAGGTTTCACTGTGAGACATTTAGGGATCAGATTAGTCTTAAATCTCATGTTGAAAACAAGATGATTCTCCCAGTTCGCTTCCAGGCCCGCCTATCGACTGAATTCGCTTGACAGTTTTCGAACAGGAGGTCCGTAATATGTTTCAAATTCTTGAAAGATGCTTGGAACCGATCAAGTAGTCATGAGTTCAGAGAGGTTTGGAAACAATCGGTTGGTATAGTAGTTTGGTAACGTTTCGCCTTTAACATAACGGCTTCGTCAGACCAGGTGAATCACTGTGCAATTGGTGTGAGATTTTATAGCGAACAGGGGTGATAACCGCGTTACCCGAGACTTGAGCCATGGCGTCATTGCAGTAACAGTTCATGATGTCACCTCAGGTGGTTCGATCGCAGTGGGAATAGTCCAGGTGTTCTTTGTGCGTCATGACATTGACGGATAAGCCCATAGTGTTGACAGTGGGAGTCGGTTTGCACTTTCCAATCTGATCCACGCACCGATGCTCGTTAAGCTGGCCAGCTTAAGACTGCCCGCCACGCATTAGGGAGTTTTACTTCCTCCATTCTATTTTCTTCATGCCACTAGCTCCACCCACTAGTACTTGTTACCAGCATATTCATCATTATCCAGGAGCGAGATTCATTAGTGGGCGAACCTGCTGATGATAAGAAAAGTGTGGAGTGCCGCTTCGTGTAGAACCCATGGGACAAGCACTCAAGCTCGAGTCAGGTACTGGTTGCCACCACCAAACGATCACAGGCGGCTTTGTTTTCGCGTGAATGGAAGGGCCTACGAATACAGTTCCTCTTAGATTTTCACTACCCCGCACCGTAATCGGCCATTTTGAGTTCGAGGAATATGTAAGGTATTCTGACTCGGTTCTTTCGAAACCACTGTAGCATATGTTGCGAAGCAAGAATATTTGCTCACACTTTCGCTCCAGCTGTTCTTATTCTGAATTCTTAACTCTGATAGGGACCATTGACCTTATCACTGTGGTCCACAGATGCGATGCAACATCCTTACTGTGAATTGGTCCTCGCGTGACTCCTTCTCTTGTTCAATGCGCTTGTGACCCTATGCGATTAACCGTTGGTGATGCACTTTTCTCTGCCTTGTTCGCACAGTGCAATGGCATGTTTGCTAATTTAAGCTATTGTTCCCTTTTTGTCTCGTTTTACCGTTTATACTAACTGTGTCTTCAACCTGTCCACTCACTCGTTTATCTTCCAGCTCCCCGTATCACCATCTTGTGTACACTGATCGTGTACCTGTTACACCTCTGTCGTCGACTATACGAATGTCGATTCGTCTCAGTTTACGGACACGGCCAAATGTCGTTGACACATTTCATACTCGGAATTGCGTTCTACATAGTCACTCCAGCATCTCTGTTCGCATCTCGGCTCTACGCTTGTAAGTTGCTTTCCTCCATTGTCTGTGTTTCTCTTCACGCATTCGCACAGACTCGCTGTGTTCGACCATCTTCATACTCCAAGTTCCTGTCGATTTCTAACCTTTATTCAGCAGCTCCCGATGTGGCCGCCCACATGCCGGATTAAGCGATTCGAAAGTGATTGCTACACATTGGTTTTCGGATGCGATTCACGTCGAGCCGGCAGTCTTGTGCTGTATCACGGGACTTGTTCCGAGGCTCCGGTCGCAGATTATACCATTGCTAGTTCGGCGTCACCACTTTGTGTGCGCATTCATTGACGGTTACTGTTGCTCGACTAAGAATCGCATGTGACTACCTTCATTGCTCAGCGGATGCGGTAACACCTTCTCTGTTAACAGTTTTTGTTTCTAGTGTCAGCTGGGTAGTTCGCGTTTATCACCTTCCAACAAATACTTCGGTGCCACCGTTTCAGGATGTGGAGGAGGGGGGTTCGCCTGACAAGCGGTTTTCTTATCAAAAGTCACAACTGTCTGTTTACTAATATTGGGGCGTGGCTGATGTGTCTCGCCCCTAACTGAAGGCTGCCCCTTTTCCTTCGCGCCATTTGGTGGTGGATTTCAGTCCTTTTTGTCAACTTTCTGGCTGCCGTTATGCGCGATTCCCTGATTTCGCTACGCTACCTTGCATCTGGGCAATTTAGCCAGTTGCTCGGGGTGGTGTCCCCTAAGTTAGCTCCCCACCCTACTTCGGCCTGTGAAACCGAGTGATACCACGCTCTCTGACGTACCCATTGACTGCTCTGTGTTGTCTTCGCTAACCGTATTTTTCTTTGGTTTTCATGGTTCTTGATTCATCCATGTCTCTTCGTAGATGGCTGCAAAGATACAGACACATACCGTCTCCGTTTCATGAGCAGTGTTGTACGGCGGGCTGACCATGGAGTATGTCTAGGACTTTATATGCTAGTAGGGCTTTTGTCTGCAATGTCTTGGATTCCCATGACCGTCGACACTGTTTTCCGCATCTCATGACGATGACGTACACACACACACACACACACCACACACACACACACGTTTGTCATCTTCGAGAAGGCTGGTGGGGATGTCTAAGCTCAGACACTGTCCACTTTGTATTTGTTTACACACTTGTTTTTTGCACCTGTCAGTGCTGGAGACAATTTATTGACTTGCTACTTTCACCCATTTTCTCTCCCCTCAGCTGACCGCTCCTGGACAGTCATGGCGCTTTTTGTATTGAAAACATCCGGCCTGCAGTACGCACAGCATGTTGTTTGTAAGCAGCTGGCCGAATTGCGCAAATCCCCGACGAGCACTTCAGGCAGGAGTACGTGGATATTACCATTGTTTGTCTTTGGTTCATTTTTTGTCTCATCGGTTAATTTGCTCAACTTTTTACCTGCTGGAAGACATGCTGCTGCTATCTTTGGTCAGTCTGGTCTGACTCCTATGTTGCCTAGCTGCTATCTTCATTGTCTTACTCCGAAACTGTTTGAGATGGGAGCTGCCGCACCATCATCTTGGGGCTTCATGTCGGTCTCTTAGAGCACGGATTTGACCGATGTATAAACTCGCTGTTCTTTATCCTGTTGTACTGTATTACTCCATATTTGTATGGGTTTCTTATGGATCTTCTGCCTCCCGCGCATTGTTGCAAGCGGACAAGTCAACATGCTGTTACTTGCAATCGGTCTCACTCCTGCTGGATCGTATTCACGGAATCAGTTTTCCTTCCACGGAACAATTCAATATCTTATTGTCACTATAGTCATCAGAACATCCTAAACTTTCAATCAATTTTTGTACGTTTCGCCACTTTGTTGTTGCTCTCGATTCTGTTTACCACATTGAATCGGGAGCTGTTTGCTCTAACCGCAACTGGGGCGAGAATTTCAGTACAAATCAGTAGCACCACTCAATTAGATGATCAGATGTGAGAGTTGCATCGACCGCGATGAGTACTTTGCGCATGCGACAGTGTCTTGTCGGCCGAGAGGTTTGCATACCTACGTTTTACTTTTGAGATTGACAGTTCGAAGCCACATAGATTCGGCCTTCCTCGCGCGACTGGCGGTGGTCGCGTGGCACGGAAATCGTCGGTGCGGTATGCTGGCGTGTTACCGATGCTTTCCTTTTTTCTCTGTCATATGCGATTAGGAAGCATGACCTGGTTGTTTCAGCATTGCTCGTCTGCTTCAGATTTGACTAGGATCGTATGCGGTTGTCTATCCGTGAATTCCTTACTCTGTCTCTTTAGGTATTTCGCATTGTTCTCTGAAACTCCCTCTGCAACTAATGATTGGTGTAGTCACTGGGTGGTATTGCGTTTGCGTTGCAGTAGCCTTGTCAAAGCAAGTGAACCGAGATAAATTTTGTGGTTTCATGACTAACACATGTGAGGTTACGCCCTAGTCACGCGCGATTAATGTAATTAATTGTTGTCTTCAAATCGGTATGCATCACCGTATTGTTTTGATTGTTCAGTCACTTTCGTTCAAACACGTAATGAAAAACTCGCATCGTCCTCCATCAAATATTTGAAGCAACTCCAGGCTTTCGCCCACTATCCTCATCGATAACACAGACCCTCGAGTTGTGCTTGCAAGATGTTCAGGATCATTGACAATAAGACCAGTACTTCGATGATGCTCATGAGTAGCAGGATTTTAGTTGCATTTTTTCACAAGGGTTTCCTGATCTTTTAAATTGCTAGAATGTTGCTCAGCATTTGTTAGAGGCATTCTCGAACTGTCACTATGCCAACGACCGGTGAGTCACCACACACTCTGTCGTCTATAAAGGTTGATATTTTAGACCGGCTGTTTTGTTCCGTTTCGGCTTCTCTGGATCATGTCAACTCCATTCGATGGAAGAAATCTAATAAGCGAGAAGTAGGTGCGGTTGAACACAAAGTTTTTAACTTGCGATTTCTGGCACCGTTAATTAGGGTGAGCTTATATGGTTCGAACCTCAGTGACCAAAAGCCTTCCAACTTCAGGTGGACGGCAACAAATCAGAAAGGAATATTTGTGTTATTTTACTGTTTGAAACCATTCAGGACACTGATGCCCCACACGCATCGTGTTAACGCTGTTAATTTTACAGCTGCTCCACATAGTTCAATTTTGAGGGAAGCGTCTTCTCTCTCTCTCTCTCTCTCTTTGCTCTTGATCGTGTGAAGGCATCAGCAGTACGCCGGTACACGGTACCGGGGCTTCACTGCCACGCGACCACCAACAGTCGCACGAGTGCTGAGTATACCACGACGTATACCCAAATTTCGTCGGCTTTGAATCGGTCCCCTCTGGATTAAAACGCAGGTGCGCGATCCGTTCAATCGCCGACCCGCTACATCGCATGAGGAGAATGTTTCCCCCGACTTATATGAATTCAAAACATTCTCCTGTCTAACCTGCTAGGCTCGGAGAGTGCCTAGGAAGTGTCATTTAAGGTATACCACAACTCACGCAATCTGTTGCTCCACACTAAAATCCAATGGTATCACACGATATATGTACTCTGTACCATGCCTTACTGAGAACTTCAGCGCCTAACTACCTATTATTTGTATGCGATTACCTGCGTTCATTCATTAGGACTTGTTTGTCACTGTTTCGTTTCAGTCGCCGTAACGCAATTTTTCTGAAGTAAAACGAAGATAACTGGCATTTTTCACATTTCAAGTACACGTTAATTTAACTGTCCTCTGCTTACCTGTTTTAAATTCAACTTTTTTCCACTCACTGTTGAACTTTTGCTTTTCTTGCGCTATTCGTTTCTACTTCTCGGCCCCACTATTCTATTGTGCGTCTGGTCATGCCGTTTACCATATCTCTAACCGATCGCCTTTCTCTGCTTGTAAGAATGAATGAAAGTTGACCGCACGCCAGTCACTTTTCATTGATTGTTGTCCGATGTCTTCGGATATTATCAACACCTCTCAACTTGTATTCTATCATTTCTCAATTGAGTTGGAATGTGTCTTGCTTTTCTCTTAGTAGCTTATTATTTGTGGTTTCCGACTAAAATTTTCTCTGTTCCCATGAGGCCAGTGTGGAGACCTAGTGAACGGCATTCATCTAAGCCCACATCAATCAGGAACCGCCAGCGGTGTACATTCCATCCGATCCGGGACTTCACACTTAAAGCTCAATGCTTAAAACCACTGAGCCGCAGGGTCGGCAGCGACCAGTTTAATTACATAAAGATCTTATCACCAAGACTGTAGACGTAAGTAAACGTTTGTTATAACGCAACCACACATGCCGATGCCAAGCAGTCAACGTACCTCACAGTGCCGATGCGTTTCTGCCAACCATTTAGACGTAAGCACAACTGAACCTACGAATCATAGTAAGCGAGTGTATTAGTTTCGGACACGTCTGTGCACGTTCACCACAGTACCGAGTTGTGACACAGGTTAACTCGCACACTGCTATGTACTTAACCGTCTATTCAGGGGATGGTATGATCTATTCGCAACGGCTTCACGAAATAAGACCATCAACTTAACTATTACATCATCAACCGTTTGGCCAGAGCACTAACTATAAATGTGTTTTGCGGGAATTCAGACAGTGATGGATGCCGTTCATCACAACTTAATTCATGCCCATTTATAGATAAAACGCGCCCTACTAGTTGATTACAAAAGAATGAAGCTGTGATACAGTGCTTTTCATTGGCTAAACAAGCACTACTGAACAGACTGACGCGTAGCGCTGCGCGCTTCGACATGTGGTGTGCAAATACCAAGTGCAAGGTTTTCTTGCAGGACTTGATCGATACGCCACCAGTTTTAGCTATCGGGGAACAGCCACTGGAAGTGGTGAATCGGTTCACTTACGAGGGTAGAGCAACAAGTTTCCTGCTGCATACAATGTTTTATTTTTTTGCAACAAAATAAACAATACACTTTTTCGAATTACTCTCCAGCAACGTTCTTGCACCGTTTCATGCGCTCAAACCATTTGGATAGCCAGCTGGACAATGCAGCTCATTATGTGTTTCGGCTACAGCTTCTGGAGACTCGTACCGGATTCCACTCATCATGCGCTTGATATTTGAGAACACAAATGCTCATACGAAGCCAGATCTACGAGGTAGGATGGGTGACCGGCCTCCTGGGCGCGTTCTCTAGCAGAAAATATCTACGACGACATGGGACCTGTGTACAGATGCGTTGTCATAGTACAGCAAGGTCCCTCGTGCTCTTAGACGACGCTTGGCTACAGCTTCCAACACTTGTAGCAGGCAGTGGGTGGCATACCAGTCTCCAGTGACTGTGTGTTGTTGTACGTGCGGTACGCTAACCACATGACCGGTCTTAGCCACACTGCGCTCACCCCCCGCATTTCTAAGGCGGCGCCCCACCAACGACCATCCACTGAGCCGATTGTTGCTTTGTCTGTAGGTCGAAACTGTACACCCAGTTCTCATCACTGTTGTGTCGGCACCCCCGCGACTGCTACCACCCACTAACGCTAGTGAGAACAAGAACGGCCATGGACTAGAATTCAAGAGTTCTTATATAAAGGGAAACCATTTCCTTATATAGCTTGACGCACAAGCGTGAAAGCCAACCAGAGTTCGGAAATCATGCAGAAAAGTTAAACAGATGAAAACTGAACAAATAAGGAAGCCTTACCAGAATTACAACTAAAATCCTGCTACTCGCGAGTAATATAAAGTAAGGAATCACTCAGCTGCACACAAAGAACGGAAAGTGTGTGTTAGAATCAGAATGGGGCTACGATCTGAAGGCAAAAATAACGACTCCAAATAGCCGGTAGGGATAGCGAAATGATACCTTAAAACTAACATCCGTGCACCACCAGTGCAAAACGAAAGTCCGCAGTCATGAACGGTTACACAAGCATACCTGTGTTTTTATTGCTCCTCAACAAACATCACTGATGATCTTCCAAACAGTATTGAAACGCCCACCATCAAACTTGGTAAGCATGGTGCGGCATTAAATCACCCGAGCTGCTTTCTAATCCTCATTGAGCTGATGGGGTACCTAGCATCCGCCAACCTTTCTGAGGCCGAGGTTCTCCTGTAGGATGGTGTGAATTGATCCCGATGGTATCCCCGTAGCTTTCCCCAGCTGTACTGAACTCTCGCGCGTTCTCCTCCAGCATCGCTTACACAGTAGCGATGTCCGCGGTAGGTGATCTTCACAGGTCTGCCACACATTGCCACACCTTACCTTATCATGGACCGCCTGTCACGCTTGGATTCCGCAAAGCCCTCAAACACGGTGGTTCTTGAGGGCGCATCCTCACCGAACGCGGCACGCAGTCGCCCAATACTCTGGTGCTGCTTTGAACCACTTCCCTCCTGTGACATCGGCTGAGTTCCATACTTGCAATCGGATTATAGGGACCCTTATGACTTTTGATCTGTACTGAGCTTTTTATATAGTGTTCCGTCATTTAAAATCACTGAATGATATTCGGAATGGATTACAGTTCACTTTTTTCTTGCCAGGTCATTTGTACCTAATCTGTTTACTGCTTATCCGGAAACCTATTGCTCTACCCTCGCACCTCGTTAGCTGTGGCACTTCTGAGGGTCAAATCACTGAATAATTTATTTCGCATATCAGCAAAGCCTCTGTGTCATTTCGAAGACTTAGCTATCTCTAGAGACGGCGGGACATCCGCACGTCAGTGAAAGGTATGGTGTATAACGCTCCGACAATGCCGGTGTTACTGTATGTATCAAAGACGCGACCAGTCCGCAATGGAGACATTAAATTCTCGGAGTTGTTTGATCATCGAGTGAGCAGTGCTGAGGCCTGCCAGTAGGTTTCTGGCAAGAAACCCTCTGATGGTGGTTCGCTGCTACTCCTCCCAACCCTAACACCCCATAACCGGTTTCGTCCTCCTTTGGACTCATCAAATGGAGATAGCCTGAGCTGGGATGGACCTCCTGGTCTAGTGTTCAAAGTTTGACGCCTTGACCACTATTGCTCTATGATTGGCGGGCAACACTTGGCACGGCGGTAAAGAATTCTAAGGGGCATTTGTTGTACCCACTGCGTCAATTTTTGAACACAAGTCATGCAGCTCCATCCCATCAAGCTGTCTTTATTTGATGAGTCCAAACGTGGACGAAACCCGTTATGGGGTGTCAGGGTTGGGAGGAGCAACACCGAATCATCAATTCGGATACGGTCCTTGTGATCGTAATGACCGAGGTCTACTTCAAAGAGGACCGAGGTCTGAATAGAGATTGCGCGTCACAATCCAACCACACAGCGGATACACCAAATGCGACTTGGAACCCTCTGATGCTTCTGTTATAATTGAGGGAACGCCGCCTCTTGATATAATTGCGTAATTGCCTGATCAGATTGTCGTTGGCACGGTTAGAGCACGCCTACGATAATTGCTTGTAATGTTGGCCACTCGAACGGAATTGCGCTGACCTGATGACGTTAGCTTAGCCGGTGAGACGGAAAATTGAGCGAGCGTGTGAACGATCCTAGCCGCACGTGTTCTGATAGACGCTGAGCCCTCGGAACGAGAGGGGGGTTACGGTAGACGCGCGCTAATGACTTAGACGCGAAGGCTGGCCAGTTAACGACTCACACGCAATCACGTGACCCGACCGGCTCCCAACTGAGGCGAAGAGAAAGAAAAGGCAAGTGGTCCTCTGTAGACTCTTTTACGACCGACAAAGAGCGATCACAGCCGATGCTATGGGTTATTAAGTAAGGGAAATTTTCTACCATGACGAGGTGGTAGTTTGTAAAAGGCCATTGTCAAAAGGTGCGCAGTTTGGGCCGCGTCTCGGAGTGGCTGAGCCCTGCTGCGTTGTGGGGAGGAATTGGATCCCGCTTCCCACAGCCATTCTGTCGGGGTTTCTGGCGCGTTTTTGCGGGGATTTTTGATGGGCCCGCAACAACTTCACTTGATATTTTTGCTGTAGCCTTATTGCTTAATTTGGCTAGTTCTTGTCCTCCGTATACCCGTTGATCAGCTTCCTCGATGTGCACTATTCACCGCGGGCCGCACGAGGTTCCGGCGAAACGGTAAGGTGGATGAGGTGGCACAAAGCTATGAAGAAAATGACAGGAACTTGGGCAGGCTTTTGCGTCCCATTTACACGGACGGGTACCTCGGAGTCGTCCACATGAATGGTTAGAGACTCTATCAGACATGGCGCAGTCGCGCAATCAATGGCGTTCCTCTATTCGGTTTCTTTCATCTTGCCACTGATTTTCATTCCAACCTAATTAGCTTGATGTACCTTTCTGCTTCCATTTTATTTACATACTCTTTGCATTTACCTTTATTTCCTGCCATTGTTATTTATTGTTACTTGGCGACTTGAGTCGTGGTAACTGTATCTACCGCACTTCTCTGCCCGGACTGTAGTTGTTCGATTGAACTGAACTGAACTGAATGTAATTTTCACTCCATTTAATCGAAGCTTGTTTCTTTAACCCTTTTCATACTCCGTCGCACAAAATTGGTCCAATTAGCATTCGGGCTGATAGATTCTCGTCCACCATACTGTCTAGACAACAAGCTTAATTTTCATATAGGAACTTGTATCTCAACCGCCCGCTTATGATTCATCCACGTCTTGTTTTCTTTTTAGATCAACCTACGGGATATTACATTCCTAAAGGCACCATGTTCCGATACATTTCCTGTCCGCACTACCTCTACGAAATTGCCCTGTATCTTACCCTGCACATCTTTGTCTCTGTCTCCTGGATTCCATTCTCTCACATGGTGCTTTTTGTGATTTTCAACCAAGTTTGTTCCGCTTGGCTTACACACTCTTGGTATCAATGCCGATTCCCCGAATGGGCCGCCAATCGAAAAGCATTGCTGCCTTTTGTTTGGTAATCCACCAATCGCACATTCTCGTATGATTTCACCCTGTGTTCTTCCATTGTCGCTTTTCTTTTGTATTTGTTTTGTGTCCGAACATCTTGGCATTTTACCTCGCTTGGTTCCTGACTTTTGATTTACTAATACTTGCGCTGCTTGAATATAGATGTTTTCAACGTCCAACCAGCGGCAGAATGCAGTTATTTTGTCTAGGGACAACCTACTCCTCTCTTCCTATGCTCTTTCCGCGAATTCTTAGGATTCTCTGACGTCTGACTCCTTGTGACACTCCTGCACTCCGATTGTTTTGCACCGCCTGTCCTGCCTTCTTCCAAGTTACCGAATTCATGCTGTTTAGATGAATACAAACTCCTGGTAAATCTCAAGGAGTCCCCTCATTCGAGCCTGCATGTTGGTCTTTTTTGGCCCACTGATATGTTGCCATACCAAAACTACACCTTTACTATTACAGGCTTTAAGTGTTAAATTGATCAATATCCCATTTGCTGCGCTCAGTACGCGCTGACGGTCAGCTTTAGTTCTGTTTTCCTTTTGCAAGTGTTTCCGACGTTTTTATAACGACGTCTGCTTTCTATCCCGATCCACAGTTTTACTCAAGCCCAGTTTGAATAGCAATTAGCACATCAACTCCAATCCACGTCGGATGACAGCGGGTACGCACGCTAGATGCCGCAGTTTACATATGAGCAACACAATGAAGTTTTCCAATACCATCCAACACATTTGTCGGAACATTACTCATTGGTTTTTTCCGTGAATTACGTAGCGGTGGTATACCGGATGGACAGCCTGGACAATCGGTCTCTACGCAGTCTTAAAACGTCGGAATGTTCACCGACGCATCCCAGCTGAGAACATATAACACCTAAATGGAAAACCTTGCTAGTCTGAAGAGAGACCGCGACGCTTAGTTGTATCATCATGTGTCGGAGTTCGAAATGACCACTTTGCTTAGGAACCACCGGGAGTTATCTCATCTGGTACGTGAACTAGTCAGCAGGAGACCTCGTGTTAACGGCACTATATGCTGCGAGAATAGGCAGTCTATCTACAACTTGTCGACTCGTTTATGACAAACTGTCGCCGCCCTACAATATCTCCAACGGTGTAAGACAGGGATACCCTCTGTCACCTTTCATTTTAAACTTCGCCATCGACGAAGTTATGGAAGCAAATTTCACTGGACACCACTTACAAGGTGTGCAGCTACTTCCTGGGGAGCGATTTCTTGACCTACAGTAGTATGATTTCGACATTGCCCTCAAATGTGACAGCGCCCAAACGTGCCATGTTACACTGGCTGTCAAATCGTTTTTGGGCTATGCTTTGCTTCATAGAGATGCAAAGTCCTTCCCCAACATTAGCAGCGACCCATCCCTGCGCTGACCATTGGTGATGATCAGCTAGAAGTCGTTCAGGAATTCAAGTGTCTGGGCAGCTATATTCGCGCCCGTCGGATCGGAGATGAGGTTAGAAATCGTGTAAATAGCTCGGTGCTTTTCCCAATCTCCGCCACCTGTAGCGCCAATGCGACATCGCTCTCATCCTGAAGGGCAGCGTTTACAATGCAGCCGTAAATTCAACCTTCCACTACGGTTGTGAAACCTGGCCCATCTGGTCGACAGACATAAAGAGGCCAACTACGTTCAACCATCGCTGCCTTCGCAGCTTAGCCCATGTCTGGTGGGAGCACCACCTGAGTAATGAATGTGTTCGGCATCGTGTATTTGGTGCAGAAAGAGCGAATGAACCGCTCAGCGCCATTATATCATGCACCACGCTCCGATGGCTGGACCACGTGTTGCGCATGCCAGCACGTCGACTCCCGCGACGTCCATTGTTTGCGCGTCGGGGGTGCGGTTGGAAGAGGAGAAGGGGAGGTCAAGCGGTGACTTGGTCGAGAGAGATGACAACCCTCACTTCGAAGTTGGTGTCGGTTGGTGCTTCCCGACTGCCTGGCTGGGGTTCCAATGACGATGAGCTCGTTTGATTTGATACACTTGCTTATATGGCAAAGAGCCGGCTCCAATGGCGTTTCTGTTGTGCGTGTCTTTGTCCACCCTCCCATTTAGCATTCCCCTTCAATTGCTAAATGCATACTATAATATTTAACATTTAATTACTTGCTTTTTGAACTTCGTTTGTGCTCCATTGTTTTTACTATCTTATCTTTATGCATTGCAGCACATTAGCTGAGATGTGTTTCTCACCCTCAGATAACATGTGTTGATGATGATGATGATAGTCTCAAAAGGTAAAGCCTTGGGACGAACACATTAATAAACAACTTGGTTGACCATAATTATCATTTCCATCATCGGTCAATGATCGCTCCGCCACTGAGCCATACTTTTGGATATACCCTCGCGCACAAGTCAAGCGTGGGATGAGACTGTTCAAAACCGCATCAGTAGGTTGACTTCCTCAAGCCCTGTTCAAATTACCCGGACGCTTTACACTGAAACGATGGGAGCAGGGAACTGTTCCAATAGACAACCGCGGCTCCGTTATAGTCCCGATTTTCAAGGGAGGCTCACGTTCGAAATGTGTCAGTCATGAAGGGATCACCTTGGATTCGATCGCCTCGAATCTAATTGTCTCTGTCGTCCTTCATATTCTCTCTGGTGTATGTGAATTCAGTATTCATGATGAACGAGCTGGGTTTCGTCGAAATCAAAGTTGTATTTACCACCTCTTCACATTACATCAGTTATTGGAACACCACCTCAGTCATGTCTGTCGATATCCATAGTGCGTTCCGTTCTGTGGATCGATGTGCTCTTACTCTTACCGAACTATACACATACAGTGCCTTTGTAGTATGTACATATTTCTCCTGCCCACTTTTCTTATGCCAATCTATCACCGCGCTTCAATGTCTCTGTCAATGCTCGTCAAACTTGCTCGCTGTCATCTTTTCTTCCTAAATATGTATATTGACGAAGTTATGGAAATTACATTCATCAGACACCACTGTTTTCGTGTGTTAAGCTTCTTAACCTTGTGTATTTCGACGATATTGCCGTAATCTATGATAGCTCATAAACGTACCAAGCAACACTGAACGGATTAGCACTGGATGTCAACCGTTTCGCGTTTATCTTTTCACCCTCGAAATGCAAAGCTCTTCTTCAATTGTAAGTAATAGGGGTTTATTGAGTTTTTGTGAAGATTTGTCGCAGTTAGACTCAAGCAGACAGTCACCACACATTCAGGAAAACGCTAGACAGCGGTTTTGTCCAATTTGGACCCGTCAATAGCGCGCACCCACGACCTTACTTTTGTAAGTCAGCGAATGTGCCACTGAGCCATGGGCGACGGCAGCGGACCGCCATGACTGCAGTTAGATATCTGTATGCCTAAGTCTAACTACGACGAATCTCCAAAAACGTTTCTAAGATTGGATAGCAGCACTTGGTGTTCTGACTCTTGATAGGGATCAACTAGAAGTCGTTCAGAAATTCAACTACTTTGACAGCTACATCAGCATCTGTGGAATCAAAGATGAGGTCACGAACTCTATAGCTTGCCCGACTGTCGCCTGAGTGGTTCGGATTTTAGGTTTGTAATACACGTGTCATCGGTTTATGTCGGTATATGTACGGAAGGCACCACACTATCCAAACCCGCATACGATTGGTCTTGAGTACGTGGGAATGTAGCGTCATCGCAAAGTCTCTGGAGCGCAGCTCCTAGCTGTTCGCCAGATGAAATCTGCCATTCAACGTTTTCTACACATTGGCATCTGTCTATCTGGGTTAGTTGTGGTGAATTTTAATGCATTCCATTATAACGCTCCTTGTTCGTTCATAATTACGGCAATCTTTCGGAAGTATGGTCCATCGTAAAGCTATTTGCTCCATCGCTCCAGATGACTTGTATGTTTCCTCTTCTTCCAGTCTAAACAACATTGTGTTGTTTTCACGGTGCTTGCGCGTTGTAATCTCTGTCTAGCATATTCGGATGAGTCATTGTTAATTTTATCTAATTCGTGCGTGCAGTACAGCATAGGGCGATTGTCTCGTGTACAAAATTTTCTTTAGGTTGTCAGAATTTCAACTACCTTTAGTACTTTCACAGCGATTAATTACGTAACGACTGAGCTAGCCTCAGAGGTAATTCAAAATCATCTAATGAGGTTGACATCAAACACCAGTGGATTCAAAGATAGAAGAAGTAGAACAATCTATACTAGCTGTCGTCCTTCTGTAGGGTATTCTTTGGATCATGGAGAACAGCTTTTACGAAACAGTGTTACAAATACTGTAAGCGAAATAGCTATTACAGAGGAGTAGTAAGGAGAGTTGAATGGTATAAGTAGAAATTCCTTACGTCGAGACTCACTCAGGCAGCCGTCACACGCCCGGAAAAGCACTGTGCGCGCGTTTCATCCTTTCGGGAATCGTCAACAGTGCGCATTCCATCAGACCCTGGTAAGGCTCGCACCCGCAACTCGGCTGTTGACAGTCCGTGGTTGAGACCACTGAGCTACGGGGGGACGGTAACGACCATAGTGAATTAGTTAGTAGATGTGATATAGCGCCGCTCACTATCCACTGACTTGCACGTTACTACCGTGCAGAGGACAAGGTAGCCCCTTCACCAAGCGACGAAGTTTCTAAACCTAGGCTGCCAATTAACGTATGGCATTACAAGCAGTTTGATCTGCAAACTGATTACAGGGGAGTAGTAGGAGGAGTTGAATGGTATAGGTAGAAATTCGTCACATCTAGACTCACTCAGACAGCCGTCACACGCCCGGAAAAGCATTGTACGCGTTTCAAGTAGCTATTGTATGCGACTTTCGGCAAGGAACCCTTCACTTGGGCTATGAGATAGGGTTGTTTGGATATGCGAGTAATCCGTATTTGACTAATAGCCCTACATTGGAAATGCAGTGGCCAGAATTGTTGTGTGGCCCACTGGATGCTTTGTAGCTTGCACCCATGATTTCATTTTTGCACTCCATGCTGGGATTAGAATGAGCTTTCCTG